CACACACACACACACACACACACACACACACACACACACACACACACACACACACACACACACACACACTTCATCCACAAATCATTACAAACCATCCATTAAACAAAAAAAACAAAGTGTAGATAGGCAATGTAGTAGAAGATGAAAGGTTGGCCACGCTTTGTGAGGTTAAGCGCCAAGTGCCCGCACACCCGTCTTCCGCCGAAGTGGCACACTTGCACTATAAAAGGATGGAGGGCAAAATGCAACATACTTAAACCACCAGTACTTGGCCCAGCTATTGGCCGCCGCGCTTCCCCGTTAACGCGCCGCACCTTTAGGGCCTCGGGTACCGGACCACAATGGCTGGAAGCGCCAGCCAAAAAAAAATTGAAACGGTACCCCGACGCTTCCGCAAAAATTGGCGCGCAGGGGCATTCCAGGCTCGGCATCGATATCTGGGCCAAGAACTGTTGGTTTAATGAACAACAATTACATAGAACTCAAAAAATTAGTTGCACCACAACACAAAGGGCTCCACTAACAAGAAAGCACCAACCACGCCCACAATTGGTCTAAAAAAATTAGAGAGCCCTCGTCATTAGTCGCACAAATACAACAACCTTGGCCCTGCCATTCATCCCAAACTTCCCATGCATGTCACCATCATCTCTATCATACTATGGCTAGACAACTACCCTAAGGCTTTCATTTTCCGTCTGGCCCCTGGAGTCTATGGAGTGCCATAATCCCGGAACTCCACAAGATCTCCACACGAGACCAAAAGCGCTACTGCTTAAAACACCCCAGAGGGCTAGAAGCTTCCCCATTTCTTCCAGTTGCTCCAAAAGAGCAGCCCATGGGAATGACACCCACAACAAACACTCCCTGAGTCTCCTCGAATACCGTGGCCAGAACTCCAAACATACATTCTTACCCCGAAAAAACTTGTGGCCACCCACAGGAATTTCTTCACAAAGAGACATCCCATGCTCTGAAGCAGGCCAAAGAATTAGGCCACGTGTAATAAAGAAAACAACCAACAAAACATGCATCCAAAAAAGAAGAATAGCTTGCTATACCGTCTTCACCCGAATAGAACGCCCCGTCATTATAGCTGCATTTCGTGTAACTTTCGGTCTAGATACGGCTATAATGACCGCGCGTTCTATTCGGGTGAAGACGGTAGTACGAGCCCAATCTTAACCACTCAAATCTGCCAGGACAGAGAGCTAGCAAGACCGGAGTGTGTGTGTGTATGTGTGTGTGTGTGTGTGTGTGTGTGTGCGCGTGTGCGTGTGTGCGTGTGCGTGCGTGCGTGTGTGCGTGTGTGCGTGTGTGTGTGTGTGTGTGTGTGTGTGTGTGTGTGTGTGTGTGTTCTATCGAACAACACAGTCCTCTCTTTTCCCCGAA